GGGGGCTCAGGCATCGGGACTCGCTCCCTGGGGACCTTGGCAAGCGGGGGTCCCACAGCTCTGATGGTGGGTTCTGTGAAACGGGGTGTTTCTTATTCAAAGGGTGCTTTTGCTCGGGGCCCTGTGCAGAGGGTTCTGCCAGCTCTCGGCTGTGCTCGCGCCCGCGGGCCGATGTTCAGAAGAATTGGATTTGAATATAAAAGGGGCCCCCTCCTCCCTGAGGAACGATTCCAGCGAGCTGGGGTTCCGACGGGGTGTCGCCGCGCTGGGCGGCCGCGTTCAATGCGCACTGTTCCCGTGCGTGTCCGCGCAGCTCGGCTGCGGGCGCAGACGGAGGAGCGTGTTGGGAGCCAGCAGGTGTTAAGTCTCTGTCGAATCTTCTGGGAGCCCAAAGTGATCCCCTGCCGGGTAGGGGAGGCTGCAGGAGGGTCAGCCAGTCCCTGGAGGAAGCGTGTGACACAGAAATCCCAGGTCCCCGTTGGGGGAGGCTGCTCTGCTGTTTCTCTTGGGTCCGGAGAGAGCTCCCCGAATGGCAGCGGGTCCTTTGCGAGCGTCAGGCGCCTGGAGCTTCCTGACCTGCAGGTAACCTGGTTCCTGGCCGAGCCAGTTTGCGCGCTCGCTCGGAGCCCAGGGACCCACCCGGTGGGAAGGCAGCTCCCTGTCCTCCATCCAGCTCCCCCCGGGCGTGAAACCAGTGCCTTGAACGGAACGCCTTGCTGCTGCCCGCGCGCTTGTGCGGTGCCTCTTCGCACCTTTGCCTGCTTCCCCCACCTGTTCTGCTTCTCCGTCCTACCCCTCCCACCTCAGCACTGCCCCCGGCAGCCTCAACTGCGGCGCTGCTCCTCCATGTGTCTAGCCTCAGTGAGCTGGCTTCTGAGGCACAATCCGCGCTGCCCACCCGCCCCTGCTAGGCCTCGTTTCCCCGCTTTCCGGCGTCTCCTTCGTCCTGTCGCCGACTCTGAGCTGGTTGGGACTTTGATGGCGGGGGAGGGCGTTTTCTATTTTAAAATACAGTTTAACTCTCCCCTGGAGAACGTTGACTTTTCCTCAGAACCCCGGGCAGTGCTGGGCTGACCCCAGAAGAGCTGAGATTTCCCCCAGGAGGCAAACGGGAGACTTTGTCATCAAAGCCCCGCTATCTTTGGAAAAGCTGCTTCCAAAAGCTCTCAAGCAGCCCTGCCCTGACTCCAAACCCCTCCTCCCCCGGCTTTGATGTGCTGCTTCCGTGCCTGTCCTTTCTGCAACCAGCCAGAGCCACCCCTGTTCTGGAGGGGGCTAAATCCGCCTCCGCACACTACGCGCTCCTCCAGCTACTGGACAGGCTGCTCAGTATCCCACTGCCCCTTCACTGGCTTCCTCCCCTTCAGAACTCTGCCCAGCCCCAGGCCGAAATCTCCTCCCCGATTTTGCCTTTCACCTGCCCATATGAACCAGCCAACTTTCCCCTGGCCCTGCCAGTCCCTGACTTCCCGTTACGGCTGCATAGACCAGTCTGGCCAGTGCCTGCTTCCCTCCCCCTCTGCAACGCCAATTGCAGGAATCCAGCTGCAGGCACCTCACCATCTTGCTGTGACCAGGATTGTACCCGTTTGTGCCTTTCGACTGCGAGCTGGTCAGAGCAGGGACTCTTGTCCCATGACCCCTGGGCCAGAACCATCCGTAACTGGAGCACTAAATTGTCTGGGACTTCTGGGTGTCATGTCCTCCGCACGCTGAGCTGGGAGATGGTGTCACTAGGGAAAATCTTCGGCTGCTGGGTGCGCTCTCCCTCCCCGGAAAGGATCCATTCTCTGAGAGGGAGGCTTCCCTATCCTAGGACCACAGCACTAGCAACCCTACCCCGTTCTTAGGAGAACGGAGACTCTCCGCTCCTAGGGGGGGCGTCCCGCACAAACGCTGCCCCGGCGTGTTAGGCTTGGAACCGTTCTGGGAGGAGTTTGAAAGCAAATTAGAGCTGGTCAGAGAATGGAAGAAAAAAATTGTGACGATCGCTTTGAAACTCCTCAGGGTTGCAGAACTGTTTTTTAAACTGATTCTTCAGCATGAACCAGAACGGATGCATGGTAGATTGGCCACCAGAGGTAAGCCTGCACCCACCCCCAAGAACCAATCCCTTGCCCCAGCCCTGAGCACCCCCAAACACTTCGTTCCCCCCCCCACACACACACCCTCCTGCACCCCAGCCCCTTCAGCCGCACCCCAGAGCCCTCATGCTAAGTCCAAAGACACAACTGTGTTGGCTCACTGGATGCGAGGAGACAATTTGAAAACCACGGTTCCGGGCCGTTTGCTTGAGCTTGCGTTTTCTCTCCTGAAACCATTGTGCATTCCAGCGAAGAGCCACCACTGGGGAGAGTTAGCACTAAAGTCAGTGCTCAACTGGAGAAGCTTAACATATCGACAACCAGGTGAAATAGGGAGATCTGATTTTAATTTCCTATAATCATGGCTTAGTGAAAAGAAAACATTTCTTTAAGGTGGTGGGGAAAGAGGCTGGGGGGGTTGGCTTTTTAATATTGATCCTGTTATAACAATTTTAAGTTATAAATATGCAGAATGATTGCACCAAATTTTTGTTGAGTAATTTAGTGTCAAAATGTAAATAACTATTTAATATAGTGGAAATGTTTTATTGTCAAATGTAAATCAGATTTTAAGGAAAGTATTTAAATCAGTCAAAGCTGCTCTTTTGAATTGCTACAAGCGTGATTTTATTTTTCCATTTTGTGCAAGTAAAAGAAGTGTGCACAGTATCGAAGTGAGACTTCTGAATGTGAAACAACTGTTTTGTTGCTTGTGTAATATAAATTGTAAGGCAATGCACTTTATAAATAAAGATTTAAAAATTACTTTAATTAGTGATGGAAAAACAGAGATGGCTGCTCCCCCCCCCCTAGGCAGGGACCAGGACTGGGTATAGAAGTAGGAAGAAACGTAGGAAGAAACGTGTACTAATGTGACGCCCACTTCAGGGCCTTGCTGCTCTGCCAAGAGGGGTTGGATGCGGTTTCATATTTGTAATATGCTGTTGCCTTATCAATAAAACGTTTGGTGATGTGCAAGGCTCAGTTCAGCGGGGCTGCTTTGCGGGTGGGACTGTCAAGCAGACCTGCTTCCCTGCCTGGGCGTCCTGGCTCTGCTCCTATTACCGTTCACACGAGGCCGTCGATCTTCCAGGGTTCGATTTAGCAGGGCTAGTGCAGACGTAGCCCCAGGGTCCTGCCACTTCTGCTCCCGATGCAGCAGGGGAAAGCGGCGCCCGAGATTAGGGAGGTTAAATTTCGAAGAATCGGCTAATCGAGTCGCTGCTAGACTTTCCATTGACTAGTCGATAAGGGGGCGCTCACGGTGCTGCTGGCCGCCCGCAGCTCCTGGGCCCTTCCAGG